GGGGGCCCCCCGCCCCCCCCCCCCCCCCCCGCTTCCGACGGCCTTGAGTTTAGAGTTAACTCTCATCAACTCCTGTCGTTTCACTGGACTTTAGATTATTACTCAAACACCAAGTGCCTAACCTTATATAGTCTATATAGGAATTCGAGAATGTAGACATAAAGAGAGAAATATAAGCACATGAGACACAATACTGTAATTTTAAAAGTGAAATTTTACAGTGAATTTCCAAGCCCAAGGGCAACGGCAACGGCAAGAAAAATGCTCTGTTCTTTGTCTTAGTTTGTTTACAAATTCCACTGCTCTCCTGTCACAGGCTTATTCAGATATAACATTAAACAGATGACGTTTTTAATGAAGTCGGAAGTTTCTCATATAAAAAATGTCAACTCAAAGTCAGTTTTGAAATTATTTATAATTGGAATTTTATTATTTATAATAACCAAAATTTGTTTCCCTTGGTTTAGATTCTGCTTGAAAAGATAAGGTCAGTGCAATATGACTTACAAAGTATTCCTCGTTTCGGTGATAGTGTTGACTATCCCGGTCATAGGTAAGTATATTACCTTATCTTTTGTAAAAAATAATGAATTTTTTAGCGATTCCCAGCAAGCCTTTCGAACTCGTATATTCGACTTTTCCGCTTTGCTCGGGGACAACCTTAATTGAAATAGCTGTATATATTATCCAATACTCCAATAGGGAACGGTCTGAAATGTCACAAATGCAAGTACGATTCAACCACGCCACAAGAAGAACAAAAATGTGGCAACAGTACGGTTAATTAGTACGACTGGCAACTGTTATTCAGCTGCGTTTAACAGAAGTGATGGAGGATACGTTGTGGTACGAGATTGTGATCCAACCCTTTTAATTTCACCATTCCCAAGACGTCTTCTAATGAATCTAATCCCACCATCCTTCCCGGTACTGCATCTTGTGTCCTGGTGGTGAAATTTAATCTGCTTTTGATGATCATTCTTGAAGTAATTTTTGCTTAACTTGTATTCTAGAAATTGGGTAGGGCATGTATACATCTTTTATAAGAACACAAAATGTATTCTCGTATAATAGTAAGACTATTGCCATTCGAAGTACATACTATATTTTCTGCTGTCGAAATAAGGAATGGGAAAATCCGGACAATTTTGGCGACCGCCCCCCCCCCCCCCCCCCGCCCACAAAAAATTTCGGTCAGTGCACTATTTTAGGGGTCCAAAATTTTTTCGGACATACCAAAATTTTTCGGAACATCACACAAATTTTCCAGACATTGGCCGCAAAATTGACAGAATTTCCCAAAAAATTGACAGAATTTGTCCCATTTATTTTTATAATAAGCCAATATTGCCCGACTGTGGAGCGAATATTGCCCGACTGGCTTTGTTTGCCCAACAAACTGGGGGGCTTTCGCCCCCCCCCCCCCGCGCCCGGTACGCCCATGCTGTCAGGTGGAATTAAAAAAAAAAAACACGTATATTTAAATCAATTTAATTGTAAAACGTTTGAGCTGTAAACCGCGTCTTCATCAGCGCGAATACTACGAACGGATGAGGATCTGGGCTAATTACTGGAAACTTTACGATAGGATACAGCCTTATATCTTAGTCTTATATTTTACATGCAGTCACAAAAAGGTCTTTCACTTTTCGAACTTCCTTCCATTCTAATTATGAACAATTAGAATTTTTCAAGTTCCTTTTACAGTATGTTTCCATGGTAAAATTGGTGCAATAGCTATAATTGTTATGTTTTGTCAAACACCAGAAAAATAGTTTCTTTATTCGGAAATTAATTTCAACCAAGATAATCACTACCGCCTTATAGAATACTTCAAAACTAACTTTTTACAAAGTATAAATATAATACCATGTGCTCTCTTTGAGAAATTAAATCTTAAAAATATCGATCATGCTAGATTTAGCGAACAAGCCTGACTAGCCTCGTTTTGGTGTTTGGTGCACATTTCAAAGGGTCATACCCTAACTTACAAGGATTGTTTTCAACCTTAAACTCTTACATTTTGCTTTAAATAGCAGACTTTGTTGAAAAGATGTTTATTAGCCTGGTAATGAATAACATATAAAATAATGCAAAATTGCGGTGGTATCAATTGGTCAATTGGTCACAATTATTTCAGGAAGCCATTAGTGACTCTTAAATATATTTCAAAATACTGTGGTAATTTCAAATATTTAAAATTTTCTGGGTAAATAAAGCAGCCTCCTACAAACTTCCTTCAGTTTCTATTTATTAACTATTTATATTCATGATTAAAAATTTTTACTTTCGAATTCTTCGATAAACAGTTATATTTTTAGCAGTTTGAAGAGTATAATAGCTTCTTTCTTGTACAAGTAAACATATCTGCTATAATACTGTGGTCTTAATTGGGACTAACGATTATAATAGGGTCTTAATTGGGGATGGTAATGCTAATTAGTCTAATTAGTGACGTAAAGGAGGTGGCACCACCGAATTTGACCAATGATAGATCATTCAGATGGCATAGTAAAAGTTCCTCGTTTCGATACGAGATATCATAAATATTCCTGCATCACTCTCTTCCCGGCATTCAGTTGATGCTAAACTGTTAACGATCTTCAAAATCGGAAATCGCTTATTTGGTGACTGAGTGTTGGTAAGTTTTCTAAAAAAAAGTCTATTGTTTCTCTTTGTAAAGATAGTCCTTATTTTGGTCAGACTTTTACTCGGATGCATACCGTTAGGATTTTAGAGTCATTGCTGCGTTTATAGGTAAATTAGCACCAGTTCAATACCATTGAGATAAGCAGCTACTGATACGGGATTTACTTAGGTTGTGTAGTCTAATTTCTCCAACTTCATGTGCTTAATTGAAAACTTCATGTGCTTACTTGAAAACTTCATGTGCTTACTTGAAAACTTCATGTGTACAAAAAAGTAAAGTTGTGGTTGGGGTTCTTTCCTGTGCTTCCTGGGTTTTTCGTTGGGTACGTACTCCCTCACCAAAAAATAACCCTTCCTTAGCTGTGGTCCGTGATCAAACATGGATCATATTTGAGGCCTAGTAAATCTTGTTCATGTTTGAGATGCCTGCAATTCTGCTCTCAGCTGCAAATATAAATAAAAAATTGAATGATCGTGAAGAGTACAATGACTCAATATATTCCACTAGGCATCTTTATTACTGTTTAGTTTCGTACCATAACATGCCATGGTACTCATCATCAAGACATCAACATGTGGCATTCATCTTTATCTAGTGTTGTGCTACGAAACTAAATAGTAATAAAGCTTAAGATGCCTAATGGAAATTGACAAATTGTTGAGTCATTCTACTTCAATTTATTTCATTGCTCTGGACATCCATTGAGCACTCTGCCAAACGTTAATGTTTTTTTATACTGAAACCTAATCTTGGTTTAGATTCGCCTAAGATCCCATCAATATGAGTTGCAAAATATTTGTCGTTTTGGCAGTGCTGTTGACTATCTCAAAAATAGGTGAGGAGTTGTTTTAGTTATATCTCATTTTAATGATCTATATCTAATTTTTCTAGCTCACGTTTGCATTAGGTTTCGCATATGAAAAAACTGAGATTTGAAGTAGGCCTAACTGTATTCTTTATCGTCGTAGGGAGTGCCCTGAAATGCAACCGTTGTCATTACCAATCGACTCAACCGAAGGATGAACAAAAATGTGGCAGTCGTACAGAGAATTGCTCGACTGGTTACTGTTATTCAGTCGCTTATACCAGAAGTGACGGCATATCCGTTGTTAACCGCGGCTGTGACGACAACGCCAACGATAGATTGTGTCCAGATGGTGCTAAAACATGCGAAAGGAAGACTAAAGAGACAAACCTGAAGTCATGTGTTGGAATATGCTGTAGCAGCGATAATTGCAACAACTACACTCCCAACAGTGCCCCAGGTGTCATGGCCGCGAAATTTATTCTCTGTTTGATGGTCATTGTGGGATATTTCTTAGCCTAACTTTCTGAGTTCTTGTTGTATTTGAATATCATGTAATTTAGTTAGTGCTGCTCAACAGCTAAGTAGCGTAGTACAATATATACGGCATGTAAACATATCATTGTACCTGTAGCTTACACCATGGATTGTAAAATAACTTTATTATATTATCCATGCTTACACAAGGAATACTTTTCCTTTCTTAATCAGTTAGCTGCATTAATTTTCACTTTGTTTTGTAAAACTTTATTTTGGTTCGTTAAGAGCAACTCATTTTGACTTAATTTTGTAAAACTGTTAGTTTCGTTTTTGAACGTTTCATAGTAGTATTGTAGTTTGCACAAAAAATAGCTCCTTTTCGTTTTCATTTCATTTGATTTTGTAAATCTTTAGTTCAGTTCAAATTTTCACTCCCCCCTCACTGTATGCCCTCCGGCTAAATGTGGGATTTCACAAAGCATTACCTAAACCAAATTCCTAAACTATTCAACATTGCAGGTGTTGGGGGGGGGGGGAGCATTTGCTATTTGTAGAAAGGCCTATAACATATTGGCTCTTACTGAATCTCTAGGGAGAACAGTTTAGAAATGATAGAGAGCTAGGCAGTATAAATAAAGTTAATTTATTTTGGCATTCCAACTTCCAAGTATATACTAAAAATATATTTGGTGAAGCCATGCCTGCATACGATTTCCTGTTTCAACCATTGAAATAGCCATAAATCAGCCTGGCCTTGTGAAAGACATCGCGTATGTTGTCAATCTGCATTAAACCGCCATCTTCATTATGAACTGATGGGGATCCGGGCTGATGGACCGAAAGCCACACCAATAAATAAACATGATGTTTTCTGACAAAACAGGGCAGAGGGGATCAATGATTTTGACTTTTCAATGTCCAATGAAGATTAACTTTCCGAAGTTCAACGAATGATCTCAAGTTTTATATTCAAAATTGTATGTTGTTGTTTCCTACAAAACAATCTTTTTACTTTTAATTAATATAAACAAGTAAGGGTTTTTACTTTGGAATTATTTAATAAGCAGTTATATTTTTAATAGCTTGAAGAGTATAATGGTATTTAATTGGGTATAACGTTTGGCATGTTGTAAAACACGGACAAGACTGGACTGGACTCGCAAAACATGAACTCAGCAAGCGATTTGTAAATTATGGACTCACTCAGGCGGCTGTTTGTAAATCATGGACTGAGTCCATGTTTTGTAAAATGTTGACCGAATCCATGTTTTGCGAGTCCAGTCCATGTTTTATAGCATGCCACCATAGGGATTATCTGATAGAGTCCCGAGGGTCGCAGTTGGGGGTGATAATGTGTAGCATCTGATCCGACCAATGGCAGATTATCAGGGCCGTGACTACAAGGGGGGTTTGGGGGTGGGACACCCCCCTCCCCAATATTGTAATATTGCAGTTTTGTCGGGCAATTTTAACAATTTTAACGACACGCTCGTCGGGCAAAAAATTGTAATTGAGCAAACAAATTCACATAATTTATTGAAAAGTAATAGTTGTAGGGAAAATGTTTATAAATTTACGAAAATATTACTGAAAAATCGTACAATTTTGGGAAAAGAAATATTAATTAGCAACTGAAATGTCCGTCGGGCACTTCGGCCCTATTGGTCGGGAAAAATAAGCTCACCCCCCCCCCCCCCAAAGTTACGCATGATCTGCAGAGATCATGTTATTCTAATGGTAATTCCTGATAGTTTTGATGCAAAAAAGCAGAACTATTCCTACATTATTTTGCCCTCATTCAATTGAAGCTACACTATTAATTCATCTAAGATCGAAAATCGCTTGTCTGATAACTTATTGGTAACTTCTGTGAACATTTTTATATATGATGTTTTCTTTGCAAAGCTAGATACTACTAATATATGCCTTATTTTGGTTAGATTTTTACTCAAATGCATAGCCTTAGGATTTTAAAGGTGTGGTTAGCGAGTTGCCCCTTAACGGATCAACGGATCAAACGACGATGAGAGTGCATGAGAGTTGGCAATGACGCGATCTTGGTTAACTGTTCTTAATGCTTTCCCTGCCTCGTCCCCAGGCGCTAATTAAAAATTTCATCCGAGTCACTATATGAAAGATTTACATGAAGTAGTGCATCGCGATGAACAAGCCCAGGGGGTTATGGGCTTGAGGCATAACGCTCATATCCCACTCCCCTTTGCGCGCCTAGAATGTGACGCACTACTTCATGTAAACCTTTCATATAGTGACTCGCATGAAATTTTTTTTATTAGCGCCTGGGGACGAGGCAGATGCTTTCCCAACACTATCATGTATTCTATTAATTTAAGTTAAAACATATTTGGAACACTCACCAAACCTTTTAGTATCAAACCTTTTAGTATTTTAAACATTTAGTATTTTAACATTTTAACATTTACGTTTTTAAGTGATGCTTAGCAAACCTTTCTTGGCTAAAATTCGCGAAATTTCAATATAACTCATCAAACTTTTATTTTGTTAATCCAGAGCTTGAAATGTCCTCTGTAACAATGCGTGACGACTGGCAACTCTCATCAACGGGGGGGTGAATAGGAGTATACAAATCCGCTGATCCGCCCAAATTTGAAGCAAAATCCGCGATCCGACAATGGTCTTGTCTAAATTTGAATCCGCTAAAAGCTCTACTATGAAGTCACAATCCAGGATCCGAACTAAATTGCAAGCTAAATCCACAATCCACTGTATTAATAAGATCCGCAAATCCGTGTAAAATATTGGTCAGATCCGAAGTCCGAACAATTTTTGAAGTAGAAAACTTACGAAGGTGATTAAAGTTGTTAAAATATTTGTTTTTCCTATATCCAAAGTACTTTCAAAAACTTTCTAAAAGTTTGACATAAAAAGGCTTTTGCATGATGAACTATGCATGTGACTTCCTGTCTACTATATAATTCGAATTATTCAAAGGACATTTTTGCCCTTTGTAATTTTTTCCTGAAAGAAATACCATGTTCTGAACAATGGTAGATATCACTTTGATGGTATGATATGCCTACTTCGATGTGAGATATACATATTTCCGCACTATCTTGCTCTCATAATCATTCACATCGGAAATCGCTTGTCTGCATGGACAATTTTATAGAACAGGTAAGTTTCTGTGAAAAATTTTATAATGTTTTTGTTGAATTCCTATTGTAATACCAATTCCTTTGGATTCTAATATAGATAATATTTCTCTGGTCTTTACGATGTGAATAACAAAGTATACCATAGGTAGCCAGAGGCGTAGCCAGGATTTCTGGTCAGGGGGGCAGCAAAACCCCTCTATTTTTTATTTATCATTTTAAGGCTGACTTTATATCCGTGCGTTTGTATATAGGAGATGTGTTCCTCTTATTTACATTACATTCGTCTGGTAATAAACCCATGATAATTTCGTTCGATTTCGATCAAGGTCGGGCAAATTTTTGTCCGCCTTCCTAACTTTTTTTCACGCCTATGGCAAAAGCCCTC